GCCCGCTGTCCCGCCGGCCCGCCGGCGGCTGCCCTGGGCGCTGTGTGCTAAACGACTTAGAGGCTGGCCTCGGGGCTCCCCGCCGCCGGCGCTTCCCCCTGCGCCCTGCCGGGGGCGCGCGGCCGGGTGGCGGGGCCGGTGGCCGCGCTCGGCTTTGTGCTCCTCGGGCTGCTGGCAGCGCGGGGTCGCGGCCGGGGCCCGGGCCGGGGCCGGGGGAGGGGGCCGTGAATGACTAACCCGGCGTCTGCACAGCTGCACCGGCCTTAATTCCCCTGCGCCCCTCCCCGCCCCCCGCCCCCGGCTAATCCATCATTCCGGGGCCGAAACATCGTTTCTCACGTTCTCCCAGAGAAACCCTAGTCGCCGGGCGGAATCCCAGCTCAGCGCTGCGCCCCCTCCAGTGCCCCGCGTTCACATTCGAGCTGCGGGAGGTTGGGGAAGGGGGTGCGGAGTTGGGCGGCCCAGGAACTGTCCTAATGAGAGGGACACTCGCACCCTCCGTGTCACCGCCGGCGCCTGTGACATCTCCGAGGGATAGGGACGCAGCCTTCGGGACAGTTCCGAGCAGAGCTGTCCCCGAGGAGGGGCGTGGACTGAGGGAGGTTTTAAAGAGCGTCTCATCAGAATTCAGAGGACACCACCGCGTGTCCCCTGAGAACCCGAGTTTACTGCGCGCCTTCAGTCATCCAGGGAGACGATCTTTTCTCTACCCAGCAGGTGTTATCCAAAGCCGGTTTGGAACTTCAAGGAGTTTAGGTTACTATTGTAACTTTAACAAATGACTTTCGATGAAGCGGTGTCTCAAATGAACTAGGCTTGGGACCAGACCCTGGACCCAGCCGAGGGCCGGTAGAGGAGGGCTGCGCTGGGGGCGGGGAGCGCGGCGGTGCGAAGTCCCCTGTTCTCCCTCGCCCTCTGCAGATCGCTGCTGTTTTGCCCGTGGGGGTAGGATGTGGTGACAGGATGGGGCTTCTCCCTTTCGGGGCTCACAATGGCCAGAGAAGATTCTGTGAAGTGCTTGCGCTGCCTGCTCTACGCGCTCAATCTGCTCTTTTGGGTAAGTCAACAGCCCACTGCACCAACAGGTGGGGACGGCTGGACTCGGTTTCCTACAGCCACCGCATAATACGCCGAAGGGCATGGCTAAGCATTAATTAATTACATGGGATCACACCCTCTATGTTTCAGAGAAGTAAATTTTGACCTTAAAATGCCTTTGATCTAGCTCAAGTTCCATTTGTGATTAGAAAAAAGGAAAAGAAAAAGAGATCCACCCCTGGATACTCGTGGCAGTAAAATTAGACTTGAAGTTAATCTCGGGATATAAATAAATGCACGTGCTTGTGCTTGCAGATAAGACAATTCTGACATACTACTTAGGGAACTGCTTGTTTTCAGGAATTTCAGATAACTGTGCAAGCCATAAATTGTTTCCTTACGTCATACTATAAAATCTGGTTGGGGCAAGAAGTCTTGCCATGTTTTTTGTAGGAATTCATATCCAGATGCCCTATCAAAAGACTAAGTAGATTCTTCTGGGAGATTCCGTGCGGTCTAAAAAGGTGGCTTTCATGTAACTGTTTCTAAGCTGGCAAAGTTTTAAGGAATTTTGTGTATGCTTTTGGAAAATCCTGTAACCATTTAAGGAAATAAAATACATAAAATTTAACAAGCTCATGGAAATCTTTATGCCCTATGAGCTAGTGACTTTTTATGTTTTGCACCCAGGCATAAATTTTCATTAAGTGTTATTAATAATCACATTGTTATTTATGAAACTTATGAGGAAACTATAGAAATTGAAACTTTGAATGTTGCTTCTGGGAGCTGTCATGCTTAACCAGATAAGTTTTTTTTTTTTGCCAAATTTGTGTTCTATTAATAATTTATATTCAAAATGTTCTGTTAGAATTCTTAATGCATAATTTATTTATTTGGCTGACCGGTGGGCACTGACCGTCTTTTTTTCACAGGACATGTGAGACACGTGGTGGTGTCTAGAGGGTGACATTTTGGGTGAACTGCCCTTTAGGTATGGCTCCATTTTAAGGTGACAAATTAAGCCTCACTTCAGTGAGTAATCTGAAAGGTATCTAAACTGCCACCGTTTTATTTCTCCACATGAAAATTAAAGCATTGAGTAGTTACAGCCACCACTTGGAAATGTAAAATCCCTAATTGATCTTATTGCAGTTTTTAATTCTAAAAATGTACATTTTTTTAAGTGGGTCATTAAATTACTTGCTTAGCTACAATGTATTAAGATTTTGAACATTGTTTTGTGGGGCTGAGAAACCTGTCCTCTATTACAATGTGTAAGAATTGTCACTCCTGTTTACTTGCTTTTCAGTTTTCTACTTTATGCTTTTTAGTTATATAATTATCACGTTTTTATAACTAAAAGAGGATTAAAAGAGGGCCTGGTTGAACTTTCTTACTTTGTGGATCAGAAAACTCAGTGTAGGTTAGTGACTGGCCAAAGGTCAAATAGCTCACTGGTGACAGTGCCTGTATGTGACTGATCGCTGTATTCGAACCTTGGAATTACCAAGGCTTCTCTTGTTCAACAAAGAATAGTGCTTTGGAAATTTTCTTAATATTCTGTATTGTGTGTGTCTGTTTAACAAAAATATTGCCCTTCTGAGCTATGAAATTTGCTCTAAAAACACCTATTCCTTAAACTCCTCCAGGGCTCTTTGTGTCCCCAGGGAATGTAAAATGTTATTTCTTTGTTGTTGTCCTCTACTTCAACATTCTCACATTCAGTGTGCGTTTGCCGATTTATTGAAATTGCTTCCCCCTTCCTCCAGCCCTCCTCTTCTCCAGATGCCATCTCTCCTCCAACAAAATAATCCATGTTAACTGCCTACTGTGCATCCCTCTGTGTTTTTCTTTATTTCATACAAAGATAGGTTTACTCACACTTGTCCATTCATGGACATTCATGTATACATTCATGGTATTTTTGGTTAGATTGTTTTTCTCATTCAGACAGAGTTGCAGGAGTGGGATTCCTATGTCAGAGGACATGTAACAATGACAACAAAATAGCTGATGTTTAAATAGTTCTCACTAAGTTTGCCAAGCACATTTAGTGTCTCAGTTTCCTAGTCTGCAGAATGGGAGTGGTGGTTCCCATTTCTCAGAGCCATTATGGGGGTTAGAATGAATGTGGGTGAAGCTCGGGACCGGGGGCCCTCCATGTAGTGGTAGCCGCGGTCGTAGCTGTGGTACCTGCAGTCGTTACTCCCACCGCAACAGCGATGCGCGCTAACAATCTACTGTCATAAGTAAATCACCAGGAGATGGATGATTGAGTCAAGGGGATCCTCGCAGTAGTAATAGTAGCAATTGTTATTGTTACAATACTCCTACATTCCTTTGACCCAGCAACCCTGTCCTGGGAATCTATCCCCTAGAAATAAAAGCACCAATAAGCCCCAAAATATATACACAAATATTTGCTGTCATCTCATTGGTGTCACGACACTTTTACATTTTTATCAACTTGAAAGTTTTAAAGTGTTATTTCTATGTTACTTTATTTTCTACCTCCCCCACTAACAGTGAGCGTGAGCATCATTTTATATAAAGAAATCGTTTTATAGAAACAATTTTTATGTATTGTTTTCGATAGAATTTTACACTAGGATTTTATGTATTCTTTTTTATTCTTCTGTTCTTTTAAAGCACCTGCCTTTCTTGTCTTGCTTAAGGTTTCCTTTTTCATATGGACTTTAAGGTTATTTTATACAATTAAAAACATGTTGGGAGTTTTGTTAGAACTGTATGAAATGTAAATACTACCTCTGGGAGACTTTGGCATGATTCTTTCAGCGCTCATGCAGTGTTTGC